GTACGAAGCAGGGGTTGTACGAGTTTAGGGTTCTACCGTTCGGATTGACCAACGCCCCAGCGACGTTTCAGACGCTCATGAACACAGTCCTCTCCGAGTTCCTAGGGTCGTTCGTTGTCGTTTACCTAGACGACATCCTAGTGTTCTCTAAGACGAAAGATGAGCACGTGCAGCACTTGCAGAAGGTCTTCGAGGTCTTACGGAGGGAGCAGTTATACGCTAAGCAGTCGAAGTGCGAGTTCTTCCTTCCAGAGGTCGAGTTCCTAGGACACGTCGTATCCGCTAGTGGCATTAGGACTGACCCGAAGAAGATCGCAGCAGTACAGGATTGGGTAGCACCGACCTCAGTCAAGGAGTTGCAGAGCTTCCTCGGTTTCGCGAACTACTACCGTCGTTTCGTTTAGGGTTACGCATCGATCGCTAGTCCACTCACCGACCTACTTCGGAAGGGCGTAGAGTATGTTTGGGGTCCAGCGCAGCAGCAGGCGTTCGAGCAGATGAAGCAGTCGCTCACGTCCTCACCGACATTGTCGTACCCTGATCCCACTCGCCCATACGTTGTAGTGACCGACGCTTCCGATCAGGCCATAGGAGCAGTGCTTCTTCAGGACCAGGGACGCGGGTTGCAGCCGATCGCGTACGAGTCGCGTAAGCTTAGGGGAGCGGAGTTGAACTATCCCATACACGACAAGGAGGCGCTCGCGATCATCCATGCGTATAAGGTGTGGAGGTGCTACCTAGAGGGGGCAGATAGTGTTATACGCACGGACCACTGTTCGCTTCGTTTCCTCAAGTCGCAGCCGCAGCTAAGTCGTCGCCAGGCTAGGTGGATGGAGTTCATGGAAGGGAGCTTTCACTACAGGATAGAGTACAAGCCAGGCGTGCGCAACCCAGCAGATCCGCTCACTCGCCCTAGTTGTCAGCTCGCCAGTCTCACAGTCACTGCTGGCCACCCACTTCTCACAGCACTCTTCGAGCACGGTTACACAGTAGATCCCGACTTCACAACGCAGCCGCCCGCAGGAGCAGAGGTGCAGGGTAGTGTCTACATACGGAAGGGTACCACACGGATTTGGGTTCCAGCCTACCGCCCTCTTCGACAGCTCCTTCTCTCAGAGGCGCACAACGTAGTTAGTGCAGGGCACTTCGGAGCAGATAAGACGGCTAAGACGCTTAGTCGCACGTACTACTGGCCCGGGCTTGCAGCAGACGTAGAGGATTACATTCGCTCGTGCGACACGTGTCAGCGTACGAAGTCCTCTCGCCAGCGCAAAGCAGGACTCTTGCAGCCGATTCCACCGCCCGACCGCCCTTGGCAGGTAGTTACCATGGACTTCATCATGGCTTTACCGCGCACAGTTAGGGGTCACGACGCCATCTTCGTAGTAGTGGATAAGTTTTCTCGAGCAGCGCATTTCATCCCCACGCACGGCAAGGTCACAGCAGAGGAAGCTGCGACGCTGTTCGTAGATAACGTAGTCCGACTGCACGGGGTTCCAGATTCCATCATCTCAGACCGCGACCCTCGTTTCACTTCGAAGTTCTGGAAGCAGCTTTTCGCACTGTTTGGGACTCGCTTAGCCATGTCGTCTGCGTACCACCCAGAGACAGACGGACAGACCGAGCGTGTGAACCAGACCTTGGAGCAGATCCTTCGCAGCATCACGATGCACGACGCAGCCGCATGGGACAAGAAGCTGAGCATGGCAGAGTTCGCCTACAACAACACGCACCACTCCGCCACAGGCATGTCACCGTTCTTTGCACTTTACGGTCAGCACCCCAATGTCCCCACTCGTGTCGATCTCACACCCACAGTCCCTCGTGCGGACAACTTCCACCAGCATCTCACCTTCATTCATGATCACGTGAAGAAGCACCTTGAGCTCGCAAATGCACGCATGGCACGCACCACCAACCGCAGTCGTCGTGAGGTGTCGTTCGCAGTCGGCGACCGTGTTCTCTTGGATAGCCGCAACCTCCGACTGCCACAGGACAGCAAGCTTCGTCCACGTTTCATTGGTCCATTCGTCATTGAGCGCGCACTAGGTCCAGTCGCATACCGCCTTCGCCTTCCCGCACATTTCCGCATGCACCCGTCATTCCACGTGTCTCTCCTTCGCCCATACACCGATCCCAATGCCACCTTCTCGGGCCGTGATTGCACTCCACTGCCGGTAGCTGTTGACACCGACGAGCCCGACTACCAGATCCAGCGCATCCTCAGGCACCGTCGCCGTCTCCAGGGGGGTGTCACTTTCATCGACTTCTTGGTTCGTTGGCGTGGTTACGACGCAGCAGACGGCAGCTGGGTTCCTTCGTCCTCGCTGTCTCCTGACAACGCTTGCCTCCAAGCGTACCTTCAGTCTGCAGGCGCCGCGGACGTCGCCTCCTTGGGCGGGGGGTAGTGTTAGAGGGGTGTTTACTGTTCATTCCGAACAGTACATTCCTAGTCACCATTATCCTTATCTTCTCAGATTCTCTAGTGACACGTGGCACTCTACTTTTCTTGCACTCCAATTCTTGGTCCCACATTCCACTTTCCAACCTTGTTTCTTGCATGCTATATAAACCTTGCTTGTACTTGCCATGATCAATCAATTCTCATTCAACTCTTCTTCAATTACTCAGTAACTTCTTCGCCTATTTCGCCAATAGTTCTTTCGCCAAAGTCTTCCGCCGCGTTTCATCCTAGACTTAGTCGACCCCGCTAATTCTTTAGCGGACTTAGGCCGTCGGGCCTAACATAAGCAACCCCACCTTTGGAGCTCCTCCACCTTGTGGCCATGGAGGAGGAGAAGCTCCCCAAGAGGTATTGGAAGGGGTCTGAGCGAGGAGCTCATTCTTGGCATTCCAACTTCCAACAACCCAATATTGGAAATGGGATTTTGTCTGTCTTTGCTATTCCCCTCACAACTCTAGCAAGCCTAGCTCTCACATGTGAAAGTTCTCCAACCAAGGGTTTTCTTAGCTGAGACTCTACTTTTGCTACTACGAGCTTCTACTTAAGAGCTCCATGCCATCAGCAAAGTGACTATTGATTACGTGGAGTATTTGCGTGTAATTTCAAGATCTTGGACTGCAACTTTATAAACTCTGTTATTTTAAGCCTGCAGCCCGTTGCTTATAAGGGCAAGGCTGTTACATCCTTGGCTAGGCTGGACAAGCCGTCTCTCTCTCTTTCTCTTTCTTTCAACTGTCATGGCGCGAAACTCGGCGTTCGTCCCTCTCTACTTTGTCTACGGCATGCTGGTCGTCGTTATGCTTCTCGCTTCCGCCGCTGCGAGTACTAGTAGTGCCTACCGTGTGGCGGATCATGGTCATCGACAGCGCATTGGACGGGTCTTTTCCGCGATGCCTCGCTTGCCTCCGACGAGACGTTGCCCGCGCCGGGTAGCTGCGTCTGTAACGCCGCGTCAGGCGCGCATCAAGCTCCAACCGTCACAATGTGAGTGATTTTTTGGTCGCCGAAGGCGGATGGGCCGCGCAAACCGTGCCAGAATCTCTTGCTCTCCTATATGATGATCTAGTAACAGCAGGCCACCCCGTATGCAGTTTTCAAGGGGCCCTTGCTCATTATTCTTGCCGCAAATGTCGTTCCTCTTCTAGAGCATAATGCGGAGTCGGCCAACAGTCACTGGATGGCTGGCAAGCCCCGTGCTCATCCCCTCGTCCTGCCTTTCCATCCCCCAAAAAACTTCTACCTTGCCCACAGTGAAGGCGCTTCTGGCCCTGGACCAAGCATTGGCTCTGTGGAATAACAGCGCGTCAAACGTGATGTGTGACGAATGGGGTGGCGAAATTGTGAAGTGTAACCAAGACGGCATGGTTACTGACCTGTGAGCTTTGTGATGAGATGTTGCTGTGCACTTTGGAGAAGGAGAGTAAGTGAGGACGGGATAGGGGAAAGGCTGTTTGGCAGGATGGATGATGGATGATGGATGATGGATGATGGAAGAGGACCAGTATTGCAAGGGCGGACTGACTGGCAAATGCCATGGAAACATGCTGGCATGAGCAACGACCTGACCCGAACCCACCCGACCCGTTTCGCTTGTTCCGCCGATCCTGCGCGGACCTGTGATTTCCCCAATTGTTGCGCAGATCGGCAATTTCGTCACCCTCTACTCTTCTCCTACTATCTCTCACTCCCGTCCCAACGGGCCGCCTTAACCCGAAGTTCATCCCTAATGTTTTGTCACGTGTCGACCCGACCCGACCCGGTCGGGTAGAGGAACCTATGACATCCAACCTAACCGGAGTGAACGTGCATTCCTATGCTTGTGACACAGTGTGCAGCAGGCATTGGTGAACCTGGTGCAGCAATGCCACCGCTTCTATTGAAATCGTACAACATGATCCACGTGTTTCTTTCTTTCTTTCCTTTTGCCTTTCTTTTTTCCATTTCACATCGTATGATACGTAATGTAGGTCCGCACAGTTCATTCATGATTCGTATGGCGATGTGCCAGCAGCCATTACAGCCCTCTCTGCGCTTCAGAAACTGTCAGTGCTTACCATTGTTGGGAGGAGCCAGGATGGATGGCTGTAGGGGTACTTGAAGGTCCACAGATTGGGTTGTTTAGGGTGCGCTGAACCACCACTTGAACATGTGTGCTGGAGACCCAGAAAAAACCTTGTATGTATAATGCTTCACACACAGTTGGGAGTTCCCTGTGTATCTCTTGCTCTCATCATTCCACATGCCGCTCCATAAGTACTACTAGTTTTTTTATGAACATCTGCAAACCCTCGAAGCTAGAAAGGTACAGGACCTCGAAGCTCACACTCTTGGGATTCGCTTCTTGTATAGTCACCCTGCCTCTTGCATTGCGTTGCGTTGCATGCCACTCTGCAGGGATCTGGCAATAAATGGCTTCGGTGGAAACCTGGAGATTCTCGGCCATTTCCCCAAGTTGCAATATGTGTATGCAACTACTCTTGTTCCGCCATTGCACTTTCTCGCCTATATACCCACCTTCATCGTTCGAGTCGAGTCCATGGTTAGTTTATCATCAGTTTCCCTTGCTTGTCGCTCTCTCTCTCTCCCACATGTGAGGTGTGCGTACTCCCCCACCCACTCGGTTGCCATGGCACACACCAGAGACCTGAGCCATACCGACTTCAGAGGATCCATCCCGGAAACCATCAGCAATGCCAAGAGCCTGCAGTACCTGTAAGAGGGGGTTCTAGTGTCAAGGCAAGGCAATTGGGCATGATGAATCATCATCCTGGCGTGCACCTGCTGCCCTTGTCACCCTGAGGCAGAATGAGAACCCGGGATTCCATCACGTGTCTAGCGTGGCCGACGGGGGCAGCTCATCTCGCGGCTATGGAGAGTGCTTTCATTCTTGCCTTTCTTTCTTTCTTTGTTTCTTTTTGTTAGGCAGCATAGACCCTACTGTTGGAACCAAATTCAAAAATTCAATCTCATCTATTAGCGTGTCAGTGCACATTTTCCCCATGTTGGCACGTTCTTCTGTGCACCAACTCGTATGCATCCCATCCTAGTAACCTCGAAGACCTGTATCTCAGTGGAAGTCTCCCTGGCAGCATCAGTCACCTCACTGCACTCCAATCCCTGTATTTCTTCCCTCACCTACCCCAACCTCCCTTTCCTTCCTAAATCTCCCCTCTGTCCTCCTCCTCCAAGCTGGCAAGCTAATCGTTAAAATATTGTGTTGACACTTTGTTTTGTGCCCTCACCACTTCCCAGCCGCTGCTCCCTTTCTTTCGTAGCGCACCAGTCTGTTGCAAGCATGTAAACTCCCTTTCCCTCCCTCTGCACTGCCCCCAACATGCAGGCGCATTGGGATGCCCCAGCGACTTGACTACCTTCCTTATGCATACCTCAACGACCCGTGAGACTGACGGGGATGAGTGGAATGGGTCTCTTGCTGCCATGCCACGGAGAATGCCATGGAGAATGCCATGGAGAATGCCATGGAGAATGCCATGGTCCATGCCATGATGCATGCCATGGTGCATGCACGATGTGTGTGAATCGCCATCAACATATTTGCAGGAGCTGTGGCAGCGTAATAACATGGCTACGTAATACTGTGTATGGTCAGGCAGTCAGTGGCAAATGTGTGAGTGCACCTCGAGAATTTGATGCTTGGGATGCTCATGGAAAGAATCACTGGCTGATGTGATGCGAACCACATCGTTCTGAAGCGCACAGTGCAGTGCTGCAGGGCAGCTCATGTGACGATGTGGCCATCCATGTGTGCACACCTTCCATGCCGCTGCTCGCACTCCACCTTCAATGCCGCAGCTCACTGCCTTCTATTCTCCTAACATGCTCAATTCCACATGCTCATTGCTGCATGCACCCACCCAAATGGGGCTTCTGCTCCACCGTTGCTGCTGTGACTGCTGCTGCAATTTGAAAATTCTCAAAAGTCTCCTGCGCGAGTGGTTCTGCTGTGGCACCCTTTTACGCTATGAGCAAAACGCAGCCCACAGAAAGCTAATCACCCCCCCCGTGCCCCGCCTCCCTTCACCCTGCCATCTGTTGCTCTCGCAGTCTTCTATCTATTGAGCCGTACTTACCTTTCCCTGTGATGCAAGGCTCTATGGACGACCTCTCCTGTCTCGCTCCACTCACTTTCCTCCAGAACCTGTATGCTTCGATTCTTCCCAGCCCGCCTTTTCCCTTAATCTAACTCATCCCTACCCGTCCTCCCCTTCCCTCTGATTTACCTCATCCCTACCTATTCTTACTCATCCCTACCCGCCTTTCATCCCCTCTCATTCTTTCCTAACCGCCTTTGCCTCCCCTCTCACCCCCCACTTACCCGTCTTCCCCTCCCCTCTCACTCGTCCTTATCCGCCATCCCATCTTTCTCTGCTTGCTAACACATGTTCCTATTCAGCGTGCAACGGTCAGTCCAGCAGCATAGTTCATGGATTTAAGTCCCCCTGCAGATCGCAGCACCCATCCAAGGGGCTCGCTACCTGCTGCCCCCCCTCGCCCACGCACATTGAACACAGCACTTGCTCATGCTTCATTCACATCTCCTCACTCGCTCACATTCTGTTTGCTCCCCAACTTCCGTCTGTTCACTTCACCAGTGTCTTTCATCCTCTCTCTTGCACGTGTGCCTCTCTCTCTTCCATCCTCACTTCTCCTCAGCGCTCTCATGAGTCTCAACCTGACTGCTGGAGATTTCCCTTCCTCTCTCTCTGCACTTACTTCACTCAAGCACATGTAAGTCTCTCGAGTATCTTCCTTGCTTCTCCTTGAGCGAGTGCTTGGTATAGTTTTATGCTTTGTGGTGGCGATCACCAAAGTGCAACCATGGTGCTGGTATGGCATCATCTCTCACTTGCTCTTGGGTATGTGCTTGCTCGTTGCACGCATTGCATCTCATCACTGTATGCTTACGAAAAAGGCACAAACAGCAACGGATTTCTTCCCCGCTTACGTAAGTCGAAATAGGAGCGAGTAGGAGTTAGCAGGTAGGAGCTTGGGGGTGCGCTCACCATCTCTCCTCTCCCTTCTTTCCTGTATTGCATTGCAGTGACCTAAGTTTCCTTCCCATCACCCGCTTACCCCAATGGATCGGTTCACTCGCTAAGCTCACTCATTTGTGAGTGGCACCATGAGCCTCTCGCCCCACCCAACCCTGACTATCATCAGCGCTTACTGTTGCACCTTGCCCGTGCTTCACTTGGGATACAAGAGGCCAGCGCACGTCCGCTCTGTGGGCTCCACCTCCTCTCTCTCCCTGCACCACCTGTGACTCGCTACAGCCTTGCCATGCCACTTGCGCTCTCACTCTCTGCTTCCATAGCTTGCTGCTGGAGCGTTGCCAATGAAACCGGCTCAAGCTCGCACCCTGACGGGTCTGTGCCGCGTTGAATCGAGGGTGTTCGTTGGCTTTCCCTGTGCTTCCCTGCACCATGCTGCCCTGCGCCATGCTGCCCTGCGCCATGCTGCCCTGCGCCATGCTGCCCTGCGCCATGCTGCCCTGCGCCATGCTGCCCTGCGCCATGCTGCCCTGCGCCATGCTGCCCTGCGCCATGCTGCCCTGCGCCATGCTGCCCTGCACCATGCTGCCCTGCGCCGTGATGCCCTGCACTGGTCCACATGTGGCTCAAGGCAGAGTCAATCAGGGCAATGAACGATGGTTAGAGGGATTGCACAATGGCTAGAGGGGTGGCACAATGGCTAGTAAGAGAGAGTCCGATGTACGCTGATGCCACTTGCAATGCTCCCCCCCCTATGCCTCTCCACTAATTGGAGTGCCCCGCGCCTCCCCTACCCCCCTGCCCTTGTCTGCCCTGCAGGGATGTCACCGGAAACTTAACCGTCCGCCGCTCTGCACCATTCCCCACCGAGTGGATGGCGCTCACAAGGCTGGAGACGCTGTGAGCCATCAGTCATGTCAAGAGCACATGTTTGACACCTTGTGCTGCTGCTCACCTAACCATCCAAAGCCGTCCGTTCCTTATATTTCCCACCAAGACGCACTGGGTCCATCTCTCCTCTGCCCGTCCATCTGCACATCGCTCGATGGCCCACTCAGCCCAACCCCGTTGCCTTCCAGCAACCAATGCATGCGCCCCTCCTCTCCTCTCGCCCCTCTCCTTGCACCTCCAGGCGGGCCGGTCTGAATGGCTTCACTGGTTCTGTCCCCTCCACCATCTCTGCCCTCACCGCCCTCACCATCTTGTACACCTCCCCTTCCCATCCTCTCTCCTCTTCCTTACTCTCTCCCTTTCCCATCCTCACTCCCATTTTCGTCCTCTCTCCCCTTCCCATCCTCGCTCCCCTTCCCATCCTCTCTCCCCTTTTTGTCCTCGCTCCCCTTCCCATCCTCTCTCCCCTTCCCATCCTCTCTCCCCTTCCCATCCTCTCTCCCTTGACTTCCTCTCTCCCCTTACTTCCTCTCTCCCCTTACTTCTTCTCTCCCCTTCCTTCCTCTCCTTCCCGTCCTTCCTTGGAAACCTCAGTAGAAATGCAGTGGTTGTACAGAAAAGGAAGAGTTTACTTGCTATACGCAAATGCCAGGTTGTGAGCGCCATTTTGGGAGCACAAGTTTGTGAGCACCAGGTTGGGATCACCAGGTTGGGAGCACCAGGTTGGGAGCACCAGGTTGGGATCACCAGGTTGGGAGCACCAGGTTGGGAGCACCATGTTGGGAGCACCAGGTTGGGAGCACCAGGTTGGGAGCACCAAGGTGTTACAATCCGGCTGGATAATGGACTCCGAATAGAGCTATTGCACAAGCAGTTCATCCAGTGAATGTGGTTCATCCATTGAATGCAGTTCACCCAGTTTATCCTGTGAAAGTAGTTCTTCCTGTGGTCATTCCCCCTCCTTCCTCTCCTCCTCGCAATGACCCTACCAGGGAGCTCTACGGGAACAACATCTCAGGAAGCATTCCTGCTGGCATCAGCAAGCTGTTAAGATTGAATTACCTGTAAGCCCCTCACATCTTTCCCTTTGACTTTCCACCATGGCTTCCAGCATAAATCAGCGTGGCAACAGAATGTCGTGGGGTTGAGTCAAGGCGTACCAGATCTAGGTGAACCAAGGCAAGATGCGGTCTTCTCATGTGAATGTTCCATCATGTCCTCTGGCTGTATGTCTTACTTCCAGTATGTCCTATTTCCTGTATGTCTTATTTCATGTCCTATTTCTTGTATGTCCAATTTTCTGTATGTCCTAATTGCTGTATGTCCTATTGGCTCTATGTCCTATTTTACCAGTGCTCTTTGAAATGTGACTTTCACAAGTAGGCTTACCATCTCTGAAGGGTGGTTTTTTTTTTCTTTGAAATGTGTGTGTGTCTGTGTGTGTGTGTGTGTGTGTGTTTTTTTTTTTTTTTTTTTTGGTGACATAGTGCAAGTCTTTCTCAAGTCGTCATTTAGAAAAGCTATGGTGATGAGAAGGCCTCGCAACATCAAAGGCGGTCATGCATAAAATTCCTCTCCCTTATTGCAGGAAGTAATTCCATTGTATAAAGTCACTGCACTGCACTGCCACTTGCTATCCATAATACACATGCGTGTCTTGGCCTCCACACACACGTGCCTGCCTCCACACACACGTGCCTGCCTTCACACAATACAAAACAGGTTTCTCGGCTTTAACAATATCACCGGCGCCGCTCCTGCCACTCACGCAAACCTCTCATACTTGTGAGACTTCGAGGCTCGCCTCGCCTAGCATGAGCCCACGCCTGGCGTGGATTGCAACGCACCTCCATCTGGCACCTTGCATGCTGAGTCGCAACTCGACCAAACAGAATGAGGTGTTGGAGGCTCTTGCGCAGTCTCTCTTGCGCAGTCTCTCTCTCACCATGCTTTCTCATCTTCGTGTGGCAACTTCATGCAAGTGCCCCTTGAAATCCGCCTATTGTTACTTTAGCAATGTACAAGCGCTGCATATTCATTATGTTTCGTTGCATTCCCAGTAGCCTAAGGTTGGCATTACCATACTATCATGCTTCCATATTTTCTGAAGCTTCTGATACCTCCGAGGCTCTACTCGGTCATGGCATTGCCGTATGCTTCACTGCCCTGACTCGTGTTTCCCAGCCCTGACTCGTGTTTCCCAGCCCTGACTCGTGTTTCCCAGCCCTGACTCGTGTTTCTCGAGTACCAAGAGCTGAACCACACCGCACACCCCCTGGGGTGTGGCAAAGAAGCATTCACGCCCTTACCTCACTGTTCATGCCTCCACATATCCCCCACATCCCCTCACCTTCACATCCCCTCCCCACCACATCCCCCCGCCTCCACATCCTCCCGCCTCCACATCCCCTCGCCTCCACATCCCCTCGCCTCTGCCTGTCCTCACTACGTGCAGAGACCTCTCCTGCAATCAACTCACGACCATGCCTTCTGCCATCAATGCCGTGCAAGTGTAAGTCCTGGGTGATTGACATCATAATGTCTTTGTTTTTTATTCGTATTCTTGGCGGCTCGCCCTAGAGAGGGAAAAGGTTAGCCTAAGCCACCTCCTCCCTCGGTTATTACATGTGTAATGACTACACACGGGCCCCTGGTGCCCTGTTTGTCTAACTGTTCTCGTTTTTGCGGCTTGCGTCGGGGCTTCTAGTCGCAAGTCATTTCATTTGCAGGCGGACCACTGACGCGATTGCGCCAGTGATCCATATTACACCTCTTTTACCATACTTGGATGCTGGCTTTCGCCATCAGCCACTGCTACAAGGTGAACCCTCGGACAATTGGTGGCAGTTGTGATTGGATCGGCCAACCGCAGTTGGCTATGTTTGGAGGAACCAAACCACCACTGAAGGTTTCCTCAACAACACGCATATACAACGAATAAAGTGTTGAAGTGCAATCAATTGGAAGGCCACACGTTATCCCGGCCGTATCATGCTGTGTCGTGTCTTGCCATGCTGTGTCGTGCCATGTTGTGCCGTGACATGCTGTGCCGTGCCATGCCACATTACCCGTTCTAGCATGGAAGAGGTCCGAGCATGGAAGCGGGTTGGCGCGCATGCACCTGGCCATGGGATGGTGCAGGTAACAACAAATTGGAGGTGGAAGCGCATGACGGCATGCAGTACACGTATGCCTTCCAACATGCCATGACCCATGGGTCACTCAGCACTGCAGCACTTCCCTTTTGGGACATTCAATGCATGCATGGTACCATCATCTCACCCCCTTCCGCCATCGCCCATACGCTCTCTCCAGCTCCATGGCCCACAACCAGCTTCAAGGTCCTCTTCCTTCTGTCCTTGTTTCCTCCAATCTCGCTACTCTGTAAGTGCGCCTTGAAGTTGCTTGCTCCTGGTATGGAAGTAGGGAGGCAAGTGCATGTGCTGAAGTTGGTTCTTTATTGATTTCCCAAAACAACAAAAATGCTCACTATGTATGTGCAATCATAAACATTCCCTTTAATACACACTGCTTGCTGGTTATTCCCCCATTTCAATCTCATCCCATGCAATCCATGCCTCCACACAGTGAGCTACAAGGCAACGCATTCTCTGGCTCGCTACCCAACTTTGATTCGTGGAAAACCCCTTACCTTCACATAGTGTGAGCTCACTGCCTTGTTCTTATCCTGCTCAACCGATGTTCATCTATGTCAGCCCTTCATGTGCCCTTTGAATTTCCTTCTTGTTTACTCCCCCATTTTCACAAAGTCAGATCTGATCTAGCAGCCACGAACCACATCTGAACTAGCAGCCACATACCTAGCATCGCATGGCTCTCAGTGCCTGAAAGCCACTAGAATCTTTAGCAGAGTTACAGTTTCCCTTGAATCTCTCGCTACTCCTTACCCTTTCCACAACCACCCACCCACCACCACCATGCCCCACTCAATCCCCAGCAACGTCAGCGACAACCAGCTCAGTGGCTCCCTGCCTGACTCCATCTCCCGCCTTGCATTGCTGTGGGAACTGTGAGCCTTGCTCCATCTCTCTTTAAGAACAAGGAAGCGGTGCTGTTGTGAACCAGGGGTGCTTGAGGAGGGCAGGGATGTTTGAGGAGGGCAGGGATGTTTGAGGAGGGCAGGGATGTTTGAGGAGGCACAAACGCTACCTTGAGAAACAGGTTGTGCACACCTTGTCTGGGCCCAGCAACCCTGACAGCATTAGCCAAGGTAGCACGATTTGCTGCATTCCCATGTGAAATTGCACCAAGGATTACCGCGGACATCGTTGCAAACAGCTGATGCACTCTGTTGCTGGCATGCACATGTGGCATGGCATGGCATGGCATGGCGTGGCAGGGGGCTTGGAGGCAACAATCTGAGTGGCGTCATACCTGCTAGCCTGGGCGGACTTACCGATCTAACATACCTGTGAGTAGCACAACCATTCCCCATCCAGGTCTCACTATTACTTGCATCGGGAATCCTCCTATTTTTCCCCCCTGGATTCGAACCCAATGGCAGCATAGTGGTGTTGAGTTGGCTGGCCTCTTTTCTCCTTTCACTCATCTGTGCCACATGCTTCACAAGCCCATATTGCCTCTCACGTAGAGTTCTAGATTTGTTTTTGTATGTAAACCAGTAACCATTTAACTCCATATTCTAATGGCAATTGGTATTGGACCGAATGCTCACAGCAATACCTCAAACTAGCCTAGTAATTGCATGTATTTGCTTGTCGCACAGTAGTAGTTTCAAGTCAATTTCTGGCCATGCGTGTGCATTTTTCCTCGATTCTCCCATCCTCCTCCCACACTCGCCCCCAGGAACGTCTCGAGCACGGGGCTGACCTGCCCTGCAGACGGCAGCAAGTGCCTGGTGAAGCATAGCAATACCACCGGCTTCTGCCACCTCTGCTTCTCCTTCTGCTCCTCCTGCACGCCCCTTGCTTGTAAGTCTCCATGCTGCCATGACTGCCCACACACATACACACGCATAAGAGCAATGCCAGACCGGCTCCCATCAAACCTTCCAACAGTGGCTAATTGGTGGAATAGGTATGCTTTACAAAATCTGATTTAACGTTTCAATCTAAATCTGTGCCCACATCCCAGTGTCAGCACCCACCAAGGATCCAGCATTGGTGACTCCAGCACCGCCAGCACCTCAGGCACGATCGGCATCTGGCCCAAGCACGCTTATTGCTGCTGCCATTAACCATTCGACTGCTGCTGCTGTTGCCGCCGTCTTGCTCATGGTGTTCGGGATGTGAAGCGTAGAGTTTTCACATGGTAGTTTCGTATCTATTGTTGTGTGTGGGTGGACTTTGGGTAATGAGACCCACGTCTGGATTAGCATGCTAAGTGTTATCTTCAAATATACCGTATGTGTTGAAAGTTAGCAGTAGTCCATTCTAAATGTTGGGCTGATAAAAAGCCTTAGGATCTTTTAGGGTTTAGTCTCCGTAATGTATTGCAGTGGAAGACTTGAATTCCTGTGTTGGTCAATTGTGAGAACAAGAATTGATAATAAAGAAAACATATAAGAGATACCTATTCAAAAATGTACCGTAATCCCCCGCATAGTACACCCTCCAAAATCGAACACCTATGGGTGTTCAATTACGGTGGGTGTACTCATAAATACACCAGTTATAACACCCCCCATTTTTTCTAAAATTTTGAGTACACCCACCCTCTGATTTAACTTCATAGCGCATGGAGATTTCTAACGATTTTTATCTTTCTGGGGGGGCGCGCGACTCTTGAAAGGCTATCGCGGGGGCTGGAAGGGTGGCTTCGGTAGATTTTGGCGCCTTCTAGAGCCTGGATGACGTGTCTCGCCCACCACGCGCAGTGAAAATTCTGTTTCAGTTCGACTCGATAGATGAAATTGAGCTGGGTACAAAAAAATTGTATTTTTTCAGTAAACAAATAAGCCATTATATAACACCCATGGGTGCATCCTTACACCCCCCCCATAATTAAACGGGCTAGATATTCAATCGACTCTACGAAGAGGTATAATCATGTGTCATGCGAACACACACGAGACTGTTTGCACTACTACATGTAACGCACGCGAAGGGACACCTGCTACAGTAACATGCATATATAGAAATACTATGATACTACTATCGAACTTCTGAATTGCATAAGTCATTCTGCTTTTCCCAACTCTCCCCTTCAATTCTGGAGTTCGATGTTGTCGATGTTGTTGGTGATGTGACCGAGTCCAATCAGCATCATGCAGTACTGGAGTTTTGGACGTGGAAGGCGCTTAGTCAAGTAGTCCGCAACCATTTCGCTCGTGGGGCAGTAATCGAGCTGTAACTTGCCTTACTCGATTTCGTCCTTGACGAAGAAGTAACGAAGTAAACTGTGTTTGGTTCGATTCGCGAACCCAGATTTGTTCGCGATGCAAATTGCACCCTGGCTGTCGCAGAAGAGTTGAAACTGTGACAAATCCAATAACTTTGTTTCGCTAAGCAATCCGCGAAGGTAAAGTCCTTCATTCGTGGCAGTGCATGCAGCAATGAATTCTGCCTCGGCTGATTAGACTGGAATCAGCTCCTGCTTAGATGACTGCCAGGAGATTGTTCCCACGTGCTCAAGGGGGAAAATATAACTCGTACGTGAGCGCATGTGTGTAGTATCACCCGCGTGATCTGCATCTACGTAGCCGAGTAGAGCTAGCTGCGACTTCGGCGACGTATGATATGTAAGGCCGGTAGTAGATGTAGATACGAAGTATGAAAGAGCTGCTTCCAGCTCTAGTAGATTCTCCCCTTCAGGTTAAGAAATTGAGCGAGCAGGCTACCCGAGTAAGCCAAATCCGCACGGCACGTCACAGCTGTGAAGAGAAGACTACCCAGTAGTTGTTGATAGCGTGTCACACGCGCAGAGTTTAGAGGTTCGGAGTCAGCTACCAGAGTAGAACAGAACAAGGTCTTTGATGTAGTTATCGATAGAGGAATAAGCCTTAGCAGCTTCTCGGCGTATTTCTCGGCGGAGAGATGAATCGCAGTAGGTGTATCGGTGATGTTGAGTCCGAGAAACTGAGTGACATTGGTGGAGATCGTAATCGTCATATCAGTTTTCAGCTCCCCTTCAAAGTAAGAAATGATGTTGGGCGAGCTGCCGATGTAAAGCAAGTCGTCGACGTAGACGACAAGTAAGACAAATGCAGCTGCGCGGTCAAGGCGGTACATACCGTGGTCATGAGGCAGTTGGCGGAAACCGATTCGGGTGAGGCGTTCGTGTAGATGCTGCTGCCAAAGACGCAGCGCCTGTTTTATCCCGTAGAGAGATTTGTTGAGGCGACAGACCTTGGAGGGATCCGTAACGTAACCGTGCGGCTGCTCGACGAGAATGAGTGCGTGTCAGAATAATATATATAATTCTATATATTGTTCTATAACTGCCTGTAGTGTAGGATACTGTAGTCATATAACTTTCTTGTTGGTGGTGCACCTTGCATGCTCTGTTTGCTATATGTACTCTTGTGCTATAGTGAACAACACATTCTCCTTCACAACTTTCTCGACACTTCTCCTTACCCTCGACCTCTCAAATACTAAGCTCCTAAACTATGGCTCCTAAGCCTACTTAGTATCTTAAGATGGCATCAGAGCGACTACGCTCTTGGCCTGTGGGCCCCACGTGCTTCCGCTGCTTTCCTGTCTGTCGTGCGCCCCGTGGCGCGCGACACCTTTTTCTTCCCGCCACGCGCTCGGGGCGCGTGGCGGTTTTCCGCCCGCCGTGCGCCCCGGACGCGCAACGTCTTCCTGCCCCGTCGCCGCCCTTCTCGGCCCCTCACGGCCTCTTCGCGGCCCCATCGCTGCCCCTCTCACGGCCCCTCGTGCCACCCTTAGCGGCCCCGTCGCTGCACTTCGCGGCCCCGTCGCTGCCCCTAGTGGCCCCATCGCCACTCCTAGCGGCCCCGTCGCCGCCCCTAGCGGCCCCGTCGCCGCCCTTCTTGGCCCCTCGCAGCCCCTTCGCGGCCCTGTCGCCGCCCATTCTCGGCCCCGTCGCCGCCCCTAGCGGCCCCATTGCCGCCCCTAGCGGCCCCGTCGCCGCCCTTCGCGGCCCCATTGCCGCCCCTAGTGGCCCCGTCGCCGCCCTTCTTGGCCCCGTCGCCACCCTTAGTGGCCCAGTCACCTGCTCGTCGCGGCGCGTCCCCCTTTGGCCGCCGCCTCTGCCTCCCCTGCGCCCGCGCCTGCTTTGCGGCAGCGCGCGGGCCTGCTTTGCACCGGCACCGCCGCCCCTGCAGCAGCAGCCCCTGGAGCAGCCGCCCCAGCAGCAGCCGCCCCTGGAGCAGCCGTCACTACAGCAGCCGCCCCTGGAGCAGCCGCCACTGCAGCAGCCGCCCCTGGAGCAGCTAGCCCTGCAGCAGCAGCCCCTGGCCCCTAGAGCAGCCGCCGGTGCAGCAGCCGCCCGTGGCCCATGGAGCAACCGCACCTGCAGCCGCCCCTGGCCCCTGGAGCAGCCGCCCCTGGCCACTGGAGCAGCTGCCACTGCAGGACCCGCCCCTGGCCCCTGGAGCAGCCGCCCCTGGAGCAGCTGCCCCTAGAGCAGCCGCCACTGCAGCGGCCGCTCCTGGACCTGGTGCAGCCGTGGGGGGGTGGGTATGGGGGTGGCGGGTGTGGGGGTGATGAGTGTGGGAGGTATGGGGGTGGCGGGTGTGGGGGTGATGAGTGTGGGACAGGTGGGGGAGGTTGAGTGGAGGTGGCCGCCGTGAAGCCAGCAGCTCCAATCGCCCGTGAGACCGTTGCGCCAGTCGCCTGTGAGCCCGTCGCTCCAGTCGCCCATGAGCCCGTCGCTCCAGTCGCCCATGAGCCCGTTGCTCCAGTCGCCCGTGGGTCAGTTGCTCCTGCCGCTCGTCTAGCCGCGGAGCCAGTTACTCCAGTTGCCCGTGTGCCAGTTGCTCCAGTTGCCATTGTGCATGTTGCTCCAGTTGCCCGTGTGCCAGTTGCTCCAGTTGCGCCGTGTGTCTGCAGCTTTCGCCGTCGCCTCCCATCTCCTCTCCTCTCACAGTCCCTCCTCCTCCTCACTTCCCCTCTCCTTCTCCTGCGCTTGGTGTACCCCTTCAGGGGGCGTTGACTGCACATTCTTCCCTACAGTCACTTATGGGGGCGTGTCAGAATAATATATATAATTCTATATATTGTTCTATAACTGCCTGTAGTGTAGGATACTGTAGTCATATAACTTTCTTGTTGGTGGTGCACCTTGCATGCTCTGTTTGCTATATGTACTCTTGTGCTATAGTGAACAACACATTCTCCTTCACAACTTTCTCAACACTTCTCCTTATCCTCGACCTCTCAAATACTAAGCTCCTAAACTATGGCTCCTAAGCCTACTTAGTATCTTAACAGTGCGTCAACAAGGGCGTAAAGAAATGCCGTAGAAACATCGATTTGGCTAAGCTTAAGACCCAATGCGGTTGCGAAGGCGAGTAGAATTCGGAGCGAAGTGTGACGACTGATAGGAGTGTAAGTCGCGCCGTAATCCACGCCTTGCCGCTCATCAAACCTGCGAACGACCCAGCCACCCTTGAAGCGCTCGATCGTTCTGTCAGCGTTGGTCTTAATGCGGAAGACCCACTTCCAAGAGAGAATGTTCTTGGCAGGAACTGTTGATCCTAGGTCTCTGGTCTCCCCAGGTCACTACCTCCCCTGCCACCGTCCCCTGCCCCTCACTGCCTTCCCTGTGTCGAGGGGCGGCAGCGTGCCACCCCTCTCTCCTATGAGTTCCCCCCGACAGAGGCTCCTCTACAGACCCTTCACATGGACGTGTGGGGCCCAGCCCGCGTCCGTGGACAGGGCGGAGAGCGCTACTTCCTGCTGGTAGTTGACGACTAAACGCGTTACACCACGGTCTTCCCCTTGCGCACCAAGGGAGAGGTCCCTGCTGTCTTAATCCCTAGGATCCGCGCTACCCGTCTCCAGGTGGAGAGGCGCTTTCACACGGACCTTCTCGTCCTACGACTGCACTCTAACAGAGGTGGTGAGTTTTCCTCCGGCCTCTTGGAGGCCTTCTGTCAGGGGGAGGGCATTGAGCAGACGTTCACGCTTCCGGCCTCTCCTCAGCAGAATGGGGTTGCTGAGCGCCGCATTGGCTTGGTCATGGAGGTCGCTCCTACCTCCTTGGTCCATGCGGCTGCCCCCCATTTTATGTGGCCGTTGGCGGTCCGGTACGCCGCGCATCAGCCCAACCTCTGGCCCCGCGTCTCCGTTCCAGAGACCTCGCCGACACTGCGTTGGACGGG